CTAGTCTTGTCTTCCTTGAGGTTTCTAGGATGTGTTTGTCATGTTCGGTATCAGTGCAGGGCCTCTGACCACAAAGCACATTCTTGCCGTGGGTATAGTTTCAGACTTTGTGTTCCAGATCTAACGGCTCATTGGAGGAGAGCGCAGTGGAAAAGGCACAAAGACAGGGACACCAGCTGGAGTTTGCAGAACCCAGGCATCTGTGAATCGCAGGAGATGGGGTCCCACAGGCTCACTTACTGCCCACAGCACTTGTGACCTTTCATGGGCAATGCCCGTGAACCAGTGTATTTCCAGTCTTGCAGAGTCATCATCTCACAAGGCAGCCACTGAGCCTGTGTCTGGCCAACTTCTCTTCACTGCTTCAGAGACAAGCCAGTGGGAAATTATACCAAAGTGGAAGCATGGGTCTTCGGTTACAAATGCCACTGGGCGTCCTCAGCCAAAGTGGATAAAATAAGAGGTAGACTCCGGAGCCAGACACCTGAGTTCCAGTGCATCAGTTCTGCCTTCCTCCTTGCTGTGTGACTTCAGGCTGGTTACTTAACTGCTCTGTGTCTCAATGGCCTCATTGTAAAACAGAGATTCTAATACTATCTGCTCGTTAGGCAACTGTGAAATCATGTACGTGCAGCACATTCTTGTGGTGGCTGGTGGTGACCCTGGGGGGAGACGAGGAGGGGAAGTAGGGTCAAAGGATCAGGCAGCATATGCACAGCTCACCTGACCCAGTGAGACACTGTCCATAGGAACTGTTTCTGTAAAGAGTCTGAGGCACTTTTTCTTTTTTTAACTAAAAATACACTTGTTAGTATTTATTTCATTTGATCTTTGCTAATTCTTGGCAGGCACCACACTGAGGCAATGGTTTTTTTCAAGCGCTAAATAAAACAAATGCCTAATGACAGGAAAACCTGTGAACTCCACCCGCATTTTGATGGAAGCAGCAGAAGGCCACTGTCGCCCCGGGTAGGAGCCTGCAGGGGCAGCAGTGGGCCCAGCAGGGCCCCAGCAGGATGCGATGGTCGCAGCTCATTTGGCTCCCACAGAGCCAGGCCCAGCCTCCTGCAAAGACCAGGGCCCGCTGGGAGGTGCTTCCAAACACAGGCATTATTGAACCCAAGGACCAGCCGCAAGCTTGGCAGGCAGATTCCCGACTGTGAACTGTGGCTGAGGGTGGGGTGGGAGCTTTCTGAAATGGAACCAACAGCATGGGTTCAAGCCAGGGGATGGCTCTCTAAGGAGCATCCTGATGGTCCTCTCGGGTCCAGGAGGCAGTCACATCTCATGAGCCAATGCTAGCCACAGGTCTTCAGGACTCTGCAGTCCCCGCAGGAGAGCTGGGGGGGTGTGCCGTGTGCAGATGGCCGTGGAGCTGGCTTTGGGGGGCACTGTGGGTGGGGCCGTGGAGCGCAGGAGACCTGCACCCAGGACTGGTGGACGGGGGAAGGTGGAGCTGACCCAGAGATGAGGGGCCCTGCAGCCTGCAGCGTCAGCCACATCAGAAGAGCTGAGGGTGACCCCCACACCACTTCCCTTTAGAACGCTTTTGCACTGAGTCTTGCCCAAGGCTTCAGGCAGCCCCTACCACTGAGTGGCACTGACAGGGCACCGTACAGACCTATTTACCATCCTGACACGAAGCCACTCTGGTGCTATCAGACCTCCAACCTCACCTATAAGCACCTTCAGAGAAGGCAGCTTGCAAAGTAACCTTGAATCTGGACTGGCCCGTTCAACCAATCACATGCCTCCTTCTGAACAAGTTCGGAGAGGCTGGCACCCTTGCTAGCTGATGAAGATGCCCCTGTCCAAGGCTGGGGCTGTCTGAGGTGTTAACCAGGCAGAGACAAGCACCGTGCAAGTTCTCATAAGATTATGTGCTGCTCTTCACCACCCCCACCAGACATGAGCATTCTTCCTAATCTGCAGATGGAGAAATGGAGCCAGCAAAGAGTAGGACCCTGTACGGAGCTGCCAGCACAGTGCCCTCTTAGTGGGGCCCAGAAGGTACAGGGAGGAGACCCCTTCGCCCTAGGCCCTCTCTCCTGGCCCTGCATCTAGAGAAGCTGGAAGGTGACCAGTTAAATGATGCAAATGTGCTGGTGTCACTCAAAGTTCCACAAAAGCTGTAAGGAGAGGACTGCAGCTGGGGACCCAAGGTGGAAGAGGCCTGGGCAAGCAGAAGGGAGTCCGTGATGCAGAAGGGAGCCATAGCTGACCCACCAGCCAGAGGCATGATGGGACCGTGGAGGGGTGCGAAAGGGTCAGGAGGAACCACAAGCTGTGTAGGGCACTGAGTCCAAAGGCCCCCGTGACTGCCTTCTAGAAATGGAGATGGAGGGACTGGCACAGAGATGGAGGGACCAGGAGTCTTGGTCCTGAGGAGGCAAAAATAGGCTGGTGGCACAGGCCAGGGGCTCAGAACTCCTGGGTTTAAGTCACAGCTCCCCACCTCCCCACTTATTAGCGCTGTGACTTGAGAAAGATGCTTAATTTCAAAGCATCAATTTCTTCACCTGTCAGAGGGAATAGATATAGCATCCACCTCAGGGCTGATGTGAGAATTGAATCAGCTAATAAATGTAAAACTCTTAGCATTATCTGACATGCAGCAAGCACCCAACAAATGTTAGCTATTGTAATTCATTAAAGACTAAAACAATGGCAGGCTAGTAATGACAACAGTAGCAGCTGTATTTATCCAGTGGCATGCTGTCATCTTGGTTAACCTCCACAACTCCAGCACAAGGCTGATATTATCATTATTCCCCATTTTACTGAGGTGGAAACTGAGGCTCAAAGACATTAACATTTATGTCATTAATATAGTGCTTACCATGTGCTGTGTATTAACTCATTTAATCTCCACAACAGTCATAGGAAGTGGGTACTATTTTTACCCCTACATTATAGATGGGGAAACAGCACAGAGTGGCTAAGTAATTTGCTCAAAGGTCACACAGCCAGGAAGAAATAGGTGGTAGATTTGAACCCATCCATTTAGCTCCAAAAGCCATGCTCTTTCAACTCAACCCTGCCTCCCAGGCTTGAAAGCTAATTCATATTGCAAAAAACTCCATTACAGCCCAAAACAAGAAGAAGAAACAACTATCCTGAGATACTGGCGTACCTCAGAAACACTGCGGTCTGGGCCCAGACCACTGTGATAAAGCAGCTGCTGCAAGAAAGCAAGTCCAATGAATTTTTGGTTCTGCAGTGCCTGTGAAAGTTATTTTTCCACCAGTCTACTTGCTGTATGATGGCATTATGTCTAAAAACAGGTACATACCTTAAGTTAAAAATACTTTACTGCTAAAAACTGCTAACCATTATCTGAGCTTTCAGTGAGTCATAGCTGCTGATTATAGATCATTGTGACAAACACAATAATGAAAAAGTTTGAAATAGTGAATTACCAAAATGTGACACAGAGACAGAAAGTGAGCAACTGCAAGTACCTAGACTCACTCAGTGCAGGGGCGCTGCAGACCTTCAGCTTGTAAAAAACACAGTATCTGCGAAGTGCAAAAAAGCACAGCGTAATAAACAAGGTCTGCCTGTAATGTACCCACAGGTGCCAAACTGCCATTCATGTGGCCTTGTATGTGACCACAAATGCAGACAAAACTCCAGCCCCACCCAGAAGTCCTGTGGACCTTCAGGATGCTGCTTAGTGTTTACGGAGGATTCAGTCTGCCTGTCTCCAGGCCAATTCCTTCCAGCAGAAACATCTGTGATTCTCGAGTGGCTGACAAGTTGAAGACAGATGGGCTCGGGCCCGGGCTGCTCCAACCTCACTGCCACCCAGCACATCCTTCCCACCTGTGGGAGCACCCCCACCCAGGGACCACCCGGATGAGCAGGCCCGCAGGCAAAACCTCTGAGGAGAACCCCTGGAGCCACACGCCATTCTCTGGGTCATCCCCTGTCATGGAGAAGGAAGGAATGCAAAACCTACCCCAGGAGTGAAAGGACTGACTGGCTCCTTCCTGACTCCCCAAGGCCACCTAAGCAGAAAACAAAGGGATGTGCCAGGGTTGGAAAGGACCACATGCCACTCAGCTACCTGGTGTCACTACTGATAAGGGCCCTGCTCAATTGGATCACTGCTACATTTAAAACTTCCACAGTCTCTTCAGTTATGAATTGGACACTAGAGATCTATTGGATGAAGGAGGATTAAGCTCTCAGTCTAGAGAACTGACCTCCATCCTGTCCAAGGTCCCCCTTTTGAGTGCTGACGATCAGAAAGCCTTTTACCCTCTGCTCTTGGTGTGAACAGCCTCCTCCCTGATATGTGCCTCCAATGGGGACTCAGTCCTATGCTAACTTCCAATCTAAAATTTTGCAACAGTTTGCTTGGGTCCAGCCTCCCCCACTCTGGGAAGCTTTCATGGAGACAGAAGTGCCTACAGCTGCTTAAGGCTGCACCTATTAAGGGATATGTTGAGGGAAGCCTTGATCTAAACTCCCCAAGACATAAGGCCTAGATTTTTCAGAGCCCAGGATGATTGGAGTCAGCTTCAGCCTGTGCTTTCTGGGGACTTGGGACAGGGTAGGTCTTGGGTCATGTCCTGGTTTCCTGAATTGTCTCCCTTTCAGAAAGAGACATGGTTTCTCAACTGAAGTTCTGGAAATGGACAGCCCGGATCCACCCTGCTTTGCACTGACCCCTCTACACTTAGCACCACACCCAGCACACAGCAGAGGCCCAGAAAGTCTTTGCTGACTGACTGCATGACGTATGGGATCAACAGACTCTTTTCAGTTTGAAAAGCTCCAGATGCAAATGCAACTCTCCCCAAATCCTATTTTATTAAGCTGAGTGGCCAAGCACAGTTGTTAATAACACTGGTAAACTCCACAGGATGATTTTGAGATAATTGGTAGGACTTCGGGCTCAACCCTTCGTGGACGATGTGGTTTAATGAGGGGCCCATTGACATAATCATTTCAAGAGACTGTTCCCAGGAAAGGACAAGAAGCGTGCCCGAAAGCTAAGTATGAAGAAGTATTTTAATAGCTCAGACTCAAAGTCACTGTGCTCCCTGTTCTGAGGAGATTCTTAAAAGAGGCAATTTTGGCCATTTTGGAAGCCAGCGTTCGCCTGCCTGTGGTCTCCACCATCAGCCTCCTCTGGGCCCAGACTTGGAGGGAGGCATAAACACACCTGGCACCACACTGGCTCCCACGGGGCCTTCCTCTGACCTGTGCTTTACATCAACTGCCTTAGTTGGACTAAGATGACAACTTGGTTAAGGGAGGAGACAAGTGTTGACTGTCTAAGCAGGAACAGTCCAAGCTGGCAAGAAAAAGCACGCGCTGCATACATAGGATACAGAAGGGCAAGCTTCCGTCTGCAGATCTACAACATTACATTTGTTTGGTCTGCACACTATCAAGAGGGATTCTGTTGGCCAGGGTGTTTCTGTTCAACAAGCAACCTGGTGGTTGAGTTTCGGGTGTCCTTTGCCACCAGCCCAGAGTCACCGTGCTTCGTCCACTGGAGAGTCTTTGAGGGAAACATGAAGGCCAGCTCATGCCTCTGCCTACGGGTCAATTTCTTCAGGAATCACCGTGATCATAATGTCCTCATTGCCCCTGCGGATAACCATGTTCAGGGTGCTTTCCTTTTTAATGACGTCACTGACGTCATTGGCAGAGACCACCGACTGTCCATTGATGCTGATTATGACATCATTTTCCTTGAGCCCACCACTGCAACACAAAGAGAAACACCATGGTAACGGTTCCGTTCCTCTGGCTAACTGCCATGAAAGGTGATCACTGTGTATTGAGAGAGGCACAATTTAGAACCTAAAAACCCAGAGCAGATTGGGCTTTCAACTAAGATGAAAACAGTTTAAACCAGCGACGGATGGCATTTATTTCCTTTTGAAATTTTTAGGCCAAATCTGCAATTGAGTCCATTGCAGAAATGCCTACAAGAAATACCTACCAGATCATGCAGAAATGTATGATCTTAGGACAGACTGACCTCAAAGGATGCAAGACAGCACCATACACTATTTACCATGTTATGATGACCTTGGACAGCTTGCTTGTAATGGATGTCACAACTCAGAGAGAAGTTCCTAAGGGAAGGGCAGACTGGGTCTCTGATGAGACATTTCCTTTTGTTATTGTTGCTATAACTTTAGCTCCCACGTGTGCATCAAATTGCTAATGGTCTAGCACAGGGGTCAGCAAACTTTTTTTGTGAAGAGCCAGATAGGAAATATTTCAGGCTTCACAAGCCATGTGGTCTCTGTTACAACAACTCAACTCTACCGTTCTGGTCCAAAAACCACTCTAGACAATAATAGGTAATCTACTGGGCATAGCTGTGCTCCAGGAAAGCTTTATTTATGTATGCTGAAATTTGAATTTCATATACTTTGGCCATAAAATGCTATTATTTCACATTTTTTTCAACCATTTAAAAATGAAAATTCTATTCTTAGTCTCTGGGTTGTGTTACAGCAGGTAGCAGGCCAGATCTGGGTCCACGGAACAGTGTGCCAGCCCTGGTCTAGCACTTCTCTCTGGACATTATGTCAATGCAGGAATCAAACCCCGACTATTGGTTAAGCTACTTCTTTTCACATTACTTTGCTGTCACCTAGGTTATTTTTCTAGAGGGGTGGACAGGTAACAGGCCTGACTGATAACAGGCATAATTAGAGAAGGCTTTGGGGTGAGATGCATCCCAAAATCCAGGATAGGACCACTGCCCAAGGTCTTACGAGACCCGTAACAAGTCTGACATTGTTCTTCCATCTGGATGACCCCTCATGAAGTGAGGTCTTTGGAAGACAGGAAAGATCCTTTTGTTCATGAGTCTGGAGCTGACCCAGGTGGGGAGTCTGGACCAGTAGGATGGACCTTTTGTCAGGGATCCTCACAATCACCTAAGCCCATGTGAAAAGAGCATGCCCCCCACTCCACTGCACCCAGGAACCCCCGGGACATCAGGCAAAGGGCAAGTCCTCCTAACTCACGCTTCTGCTGGGGTGTCAGGAATCACTTCAATGATATACGCTCCTGAAAGCACATCTGGGAAGTCTCGGTGGCGGTCCTTCAGCTCTTTGGCTTTGCTGCTCAGGAGAAAATATACTTGTGTTAACCTTACATAACCGGGGACGTCCTCTGCTGAGACCCAACCAGCTTCTCCTCCTGTCCCTGATTCTAACTTTAAATTCCTCCAGGAGTTTTGATTCCCTTTAAATGGCCCGCCCACTAGAGTCAAAGATTTGTTGGCTGACAGGCAGGGAAGTGCTATGTCATTATAAGTATTAACTTTGCTTATTATTTAATAGTAGTTCTAGTAGCTTAAGGAGCCATTCCAGTAGAGCCATCGGCCTGGTTTGGAGCCCCGGCTCTGCTACTTTTTCAAATGTGACTGTGGGCAGTTGCTTACCCTCTCCGAGCCTAGTTTTGTCACCTAGAGAATAGGGGGGCAATGACGATACTCTGTGACATGGGTTCTTGTGAAGATTCTATGAGATCATCTAAGTCCAGCACCTGGCCCTGTGCCTGGTGCACAGCAAGCACAGGACTCATAGTGGCTAGTGTCACTGTGACCAGTGACCATTGCCACCAGCCACTGATCCAAGCCTTGACAGCCTTTAAGACGCTCAGTCCTCACCACACATCAAAATGCCTGCCCTGCTATCCTCATCCTGGAGAGGAGGAAACTGAGGCACTCAGAGGTCACGTCCTTCCCAAGGTCCAAGCCAGGAAGTAGCAGAGCTGGGATGAGAACCCAGGAGGCCAGACCTCAGGGCCTGTGTTCTCTCCCCACACCTCCGTCTCCCCCAGTTCCCAGGCAAATAACTGGTGTACATTTTAGTCTCGGCAAATCAGCCCATATTCTGAGTGCTAGGAAACATACCACCATTCCTAAGGTGTATCGAAACTGTAGTAATGCATTCACCATTAATTAATAGTTAATTAATTATACTAATTAAAGTGTAAATACCTGTATTGATGTGCCCTGCTCGTTGCCTACTTCACGTACAACAGCTTCAACCATGCTCTTAGTTACCAGGACTTGTGATTACCCAGACTTTTTCATCAAGCCAAACACCACTATGTTATGAGCCTGGCAGCCACATGGCACAACTTCCATGAGCTCCGGGGAAAACACGCCCACGGGTCAGGCCGGCCCACCCGGCATTCCAGGGGCCACAGCCCATGCCCTGCAGAGCCTGGAAAGGCAGGCGCCCCGGGGCGGAGGGCGGTGCTCGGGGCACTCCCCCACTGTGGGTTCCAACAGGAGAGGGGCTGAAAGGAAGGCAGGAGGGAGAGTGACTGACCCGCCCTATGGTTCAGGCCTGCCATCAAAGAGGCAGGAAGAATCTTCTAGAAGGAAGACCTGCTCAGAACACAAAAAAAATGGAGGATAAAACAAGAGGAAGCCAGGGCTAACGGCCCCTCCTCTCTCTCCTAATGTTACTTAATTTTAACCAGAAACTGAGATGTCTTAACGCAGCGTAAGGTTTCTTTTTGGGGTGGCGGTGCCAGCTTTCTGAAGTTCAGGTTTATTTAAATGTAAAACTTAGACACAGACGTCCCGCTTACCCACCTGGATGTGAGCGACATCATCCGAATGCCAATGTACTTCTTCTTGGTGATGGCTTTGCCTGGTATGACAGCAAAAGGGCAACGGAAGGTCAGGCAGTTGACAGCAGTGCCGGGGACACCAGAAGTCACGAGGTTCAAGTCCCCATTTCAATGTAAAGTCAGGGTCATAGGAGATATGCTGAAGTTGTGTTTCAAATCCTGGTTTGGACCCCTATGCGCCATGAGACCAGGAGGAAGGCCTGTCATTTTGGTTAATGGCCAAAAATCTAGGAATGGTCCTTGATTCCTCCCTGCCTCATCCTGACACCCAATGAGGTTTCTATCCCCCCAGGAATCCAGAATGTGACCCCTTTGCCCCACCCCTCCAGCAGAGCCTCCTCCCCACTCTGAGGGTCCTTTCAAAGATCGTGGACTCCCCTGTTCCCAGTGCAGCTGAAATGCAACCCAGGCCCCTCACCATGGCCTGCTGGGACCCTGACTCGCCTCCTTCCACACCCATGTGTAACTCGGCATGTTCTCTGCACTCCAGCCCCAGGGCCTGGTCCAGGGTCCTGGGCTCCCACCTGTGACCAGAGCGGAGGCCTTGAATCCACCCGCCTCTCTGCTCTCCACTCCCACACCCCTGCCTGCTGGCTCCTTCTCCTTCAGGCCTTGCCCTGGGAGACATTTCCTGGTCCTACTGCCCCCACTAGCTGCCCCTCCCCTTGACCCCTAGCCCAGCACTCTTGCTTCATGTCCTGGGAAGCACCTGCTGTTTCCTGAAATGTTATTTCTTTGTTTACTGTCATCCTTACCCACCTCAAGGAGACTATAAACATCACACCTACAAGGGATGCTGTTGAGGATGGAACCTGCCCCCAAACAGATGGGTGAATAAGCATTTGTAAAATGAATGATCTCCCTGAATCTCAATTTTCTCATCAGTAAAATGGGATTAGTAATTCCCGCCTGATAGGGTAAAGGAATTTAATAAAGTGAAATGATGCACAGAAATCACCTAGGGGGTGTGCCTGGAATATTTTAGATTAAACTGTATGAAATGTTCACCAACACAGGTCAAAAAATGGTCAAACATCTGTAACCTCCTATCAGGGGCCTACTAACATGCGTTCCGTTTCCCTCCTTGATAGGAGAGGCTTTGCTGATCTTCAGGTGTGGTGTTTTTCTCTGGCCCCAAGTCGCACAGGAGCAGCCAGGCCCCGGGCCTGAATCTCCTGGCCTCAGCAGCCTGGGCCCTGCCTTACCTTTGGCTTGTCGGTCATGGGACTCAGTTAGGAACTTTTTAATCTTATCAGATGGGATTGCAAAGGAGATTCCCGCTGTCACTTTCAAGGTATTAATGCCAATCACTTCACCGTCCTGAAAAGCAAGATGGAAATGAATGACTGAATCCATGAAGGCTTACCTAAGGATTCACACGCATCAAAAGGAAATGGAGAATGTGCATGAAAGACGTGTTTGTGCTTCATCTGAAATGAGTGGGTGGGGGAGCTGGAGGGAGGGGCTCGAGCCTAGGGGGACCATCATCGCTTGGGCTGAGTAAGGTCCTGCTCCGCAATGGAACACATGACAGGGAGCTTTAAGATGTACATGTATGCACTCCTTTCCCAGGAATGTTTCCAGAACCTCTGAGTCCGTTAGGCGGCTGTCTACACCCTCCCGCTTCTCCCATTTCCAACGATATTAAGACTCCTCTGCTGACATCTGGGAGCTTTAAGACCCGCATGCTTCATTTCTAGGGAAATGCAGTCCCATCTCAGACAGCAGCCGGAGCGGGGCTGCAGGGGGCAGTGGGAACACAGACACCCCTCGTTTCCGCTGCTTGTCCCAGACTGGCTTTAAATCACAGAGGAAGCCATTCGACAGGGTATGCTTCCAGTCAAGATAAATTCACAGTTCAGTGAACGCCACTCAACGGGAAACGTTCCTGGAATAACAGGCTCACCTCCCGCCATTCAGCCATTATTCTCAAAACTATTGTCGAGTGGTTTGTTCAGCCTGGCCTTAGAAGGGAAAACTGTCAAGAAAGTATAAATCACTCTTCGCCCACTTGCTGCGGCACTGGGAGTTCAGTCCCCACTCCGAGGGACTATGCAGCGGGCCCTGTTCTCCTGGGCCTTGCTAACGCTAGCCTCCATTTCATCCCCTGCACATGAGAGGTGAGCTGGCTGACCCCTGGGCTGCATGCTTGCTGACAGTCGGGTTCTCGGGCTCCCCCTCTCTCATGCTTTTGTATTTAAATATGGACGTCAGTTACATCTCTGTGAGCGGGGTAAGTCCTTATTCCAGCCAGGCCTTGAGGGAGGGCTTCTGGTCACCCAGAACCAAGGCTGTGGGAGGGCCAGGCCAGCTCCCTGGGCAGCCTGGAGGCTGCATTTGAAGGACATGCCTTTCTGTGACAGGTTGGAATTGCTCCTTTAGGGACTCCTGGATGGACATGAATTCCACTGCATTTACTGCTAACCTTGAAACACAGGCATGCGTCCTGGCATCCCAACCCTCAACTCCACACACCCTCCTCTGTGTAGGAAAGATGAGAAGGGTCGCTTGCAAGGGTACAGTATAAGCACAGAGTCCCCATTAAAAGAATTAGATAATGGGCTTTAGAAAGTACCTGTTCTGCAAAGAAAAAAAAAAAGCATGCACATGCATTTGAGAAGAGCTTACCAGGTTTACTAACGGTCCTCCTGAGTTCCCATACTGAAATTAAGCAAAAATTTAAAAGTTATGAGTTTGTGTCACTACACAGTCCTATCAAGCTACTTCCCTGCCTTGCAGGTTCCTGATACAGGTTCTTGCCTGAGTTTTGTGTCTGTCAACTTAATATTTTGCTCAAAAATAAGAACCTTAACAATTTTCAGAAACATTTTAGATATGCTTTAAATGGAAACTTTTTCTTTTGTCCAAAGCCCAGAGGCCAACTACGAATTCCCTAAAACACCCAACCCAGCTTCCTTCTCTTGGCAGGAGGTTGGCACCCACTTGCTCCAGAGTCACAGCATCTCAGATCTATACAGCAGATCCCTCGGCTGCGGGGGCTGGAAAGCCACGCCGTGTGCTCTATTTCCATTACTTCATGCAGATCACAAGCCAGTTTGGGAATAAAACCTATCAGAGGCAGTGAGTGCACAAACCTCACTGTTCCTTATTTATTAAGCAGATGTAGGGAGGAAAAAAATACATTGCTTTATAGAAACACCAATCCTATAGGGAGACAGCTGAGTGGAAAAACGTGATTTTAAAAAGATCCATTTACGAGATTTTGTGGTTCAAGATCTGGCCTCCTTAGACACGGAGTGCTAATGCTCAGACTGTGCCCCAAAGCAGAGCCTACACCTCCTGGGGCTACAGGGCTGTGCCTGAGAGGGTGTCCCTTCTGCCACAGAGCTGCAAAATAACTCCCCTCAGGTGGTCTGGGGAGCTCCCCTGGGCTGCAGACCTTGGCAAATCTGAAGTCCCCATGGACTGCTAATGTGCTCAGGCAAGCCCTTGACCTCATCTCTTGAGGGGGTCAAAGGGAACTCCCTGGATAGCACCTGGGACACTGATTCCTCCCAAGTTCCTGAGCCTGACTTTCAGAACCTGCCCCGACCCGGGTGAGCGGCGCCATGGCTCACGTTGATGATGGCGTCTGTCTGGATGTAGTCCATGTCTGAGTTCCGGAGCCCCAGCTCTTTGCCACCACGCTGGGTGGTGCTGACGATCCCGGTGGTGACTGTGTTTTGAAGGGAAAACGGGCTTCCGATGGCGACCACGAACTCCCCCGGCCGCAGCTCTGAGGAGCGGCCAAGCAGCAGGACAGGCAGCTTTCCCTGCAACCACAAGGTTGGCATTGCTGCAGGTGGTGAGCTGAACAGACTGGATAAAGGCACAGGGGTCATGGGCACCAGGCACTAGCAGGTCACTCCCATTCCCCAGGCCTTGAGGGAAACTGAGGTCAGGCCCAGCGTCCCTCCCTAGACCAAGGGCCCTGCTTCTCTCCCACCCGCTGTAACCAATGAGCGTGAAGCTGCACGTGTGGGAGGGTTTCTGGAGGTCATCTTGGGGTCTGTCCACATCTTGAAGCTATTAGCACAGACTTGTCTGAAAACGTGAGACTGAGACAGAGGGAGACACGTTTTGGATTTGGTGCAAGACTGCCTGGGGTGCTCTTAGAGAATAAAGCCCCCCAGAAGGATCCTGAGCCCACAGACCCTGGGGCAGAAGGGAAAGGGGGAATGTGCCCCCACTTACCATCCACCCAGGTTCTGGAGAGTCGGGAGCCCTGGGGGCCGGCACTGCACCGACTCAGCCAGATGTCTGCGCTGAGTATACGGCAGCTCTGCCGAGGGGCAGAGGTGGAGCCAAGACAACAAGGCACCCAGGGTGCCCAGATGCCAAGGCCCAAGAGGTGGGCTCCCTCCTTATCTGAAGAAGTTCCCCATCACCCACCTATGCTCCCATCACCCACCAGGGACCTAACTGACCCAACAAGCATGGTGCCCACGAAGGCCGGGCACAGCCAGGAGCCCCAAACACTCTTCCAACTAGAAAGGAATGAATTAAAGCCAGCTGGAGTCCGCAGGGCTGCAGAGGGCCGGGCTCCTGTCGGGGAAGCATGGGTCTCGCCCCTCTCTCCTCCCCCAGGCAAACTGCTGAGTTCCTTTCAGTTTTGTTCCCTTAGTCAAAAGGAGCAGCTGTGCCAAACAACGTGGAAGATGCCCAGAGAGCGAAGACCTAGCCCAGGCTTCATGCCAACCAAGTGCAGTCAAGAGTCCTCATGTGTGTCCATCTCAAAAAAGGAAGAAAGGGGGGCCAGGAGGGTGGGGCAGGTGAAAACCAGTGTTTCCTGTTAGGGATGGTACGGACCAAAGTGGATAAAGTCCATTGAACAGATAAAGAAACTGTGGCTCCAAATATCTGGTGACAAGAGTGAGAGACAGAGCAGGGATTTAAACGTGGTAACCCCAAAGCCAGACTGTCTCATCCACTGTACGGTGCCACAAAGACCCCTCCCACCCCAAATATGGGAGATGCAGCTCAGGAGATGCTGGGCCAGAACGTTCATGGAGGAGGAGGAAGAAGGAATGTTGCAAAAGGATCCAAGGCCTAAAACTGACGTTTGCACTGATGAGAAGGAAGGCCCCGTGGTTCGCAGACGCTGGCAGGCCCCTTACAGCACTGTGGGCAGGAGCACAAACCCTGGGCCGGGCTGCCTGAGTAGATCCTGGCCTAAGCTTACAGCCACTCGGGTCCTCAGTGTTTCCATCTGAAAAATGGGAAGAAAAGCCTATCTCACTGGTTAGTTGTGAGAATTAAGTGACAAGATCCAAACAGCTCTTTGAATGGCACCGAGCTCATGTTACGCATCATGTAAGTGGGACATGTAAGCAACAGATGTGTTGATTATTGTTATTAGTATTCAGGTCCATGAAAATCCAGTGGAGGAAATCCTACCAACTAACAGCCCACAAGCTCATCTGTGTCACCTGGTTCTCCATGCAGGAGAGGCCGGTGGTGCAGTCTGCCCTGACAGTGACTTTTGCCCATGGGGTCACCTGGGCCCGAGTGCAGGGTGCTGCTCTGATGGAGGCAGATCTGCAGCCCAGCACTCCCTGAGCTCACGGGCATCCAGCGGCACGCCAGCAAGCTCAGCACAGCCTGTTTACCCTGGGCCTGAGCCAGTCACCCCTGCCAGGAATGACTTCATCCAACAGACGCAGTGGGGAGGCAAGCAGGAGTCAGGGCTGGTGACATGCACTCAGCAGCTGGGGTCACTGCTGCTCCTTCAGAGCCTGGGAACAGCCTTCAGGGTTGGGCTGGAGGGGCAGGAAGGGGACAGAGCAGCAAAGGCTCCTGGGGGGTCCTCCCTGCTGCCCAAGATAACAGTTGGTTTTCACCGACTTTAAGGCAAGAGATCAAGTTCAAACACAGAAAGGTGGGCCCAGCCCACATCAGCTCAGCCACAAATGGGGAACCACATGAGAAAGTTACGTGGCAGGACTCCCAGTGGAGATCTTAATTAGCATCTCTCCACTACCATCCCTGCCCCCCCACCTCCACTCCCTGGGAGGGGGGCCGGGCCCAGGCTCCCAGGCACCAGGAGGTTCTGAAGGTAAAGGGGCCTAAAGACAACACCCTGCCGAGCTCTTCTTTCCCAAGTCTGAGCTCAGGCCCGGAGGACTAGGGAAGGAGGCAAATGCCTCAGGGTGCAGAGCTGTGAGGACAGAGCAGAGACCCTGCGAGGGGAGGCGAATACCCAGCCACACTCACTGGGGAGGCCTGGGCCTCCTGGGGCCTCCAGCATGGTGAAGCCGCCCACACCAGGGGGACCATTTGGGCTTGGTCACGTGCACACCAGGGCTACAAACCCAGAGTCTCCCCAAGAACCAAGAACAGGTCAGAGGAGGAAATCTGGGTCCATGTGGCCAGGTATTCAAACCTGCACCAGGGGGCAACACCAAGTATCACCTTGTTTAAATTTCTATTCACTCAAGCATCTCAGATTGTGACGGACAATCTTAAGACAGAAATGCTTAAATGGGCACACAGCAGATGGGAGCAGTTATGACTGGAAGCCTGAAGTGATGAACCTTTCCCCTCTCAGAAGGCAAGTACTTTCATGATCACCTTGGGAGCCAGGGCAGGTTGCCCCACGTTTTATGATGTGTGGAAACTGAGGCGCAGAGATGGAGTGGCTTCTCACACCTAATGAAGAGCAGCCTGGCTAGCGAAGAGAACAGGCTTCCCAACAACTCCTAGTGTGTGTTAACCTGGAATTCTAATGTAGGCAGAAATCTTTGCAAGGCAGTGATACGGAGCAGTGAGGTGGGCCAGGCAAGATTTACTGCTCTCCGCAAATTCCAGATGCGTTTTGGGGGCTATTTGGCCCCTACTCACCACAGGTGCTGCTGGCCTCGCAAGTATCAGGCTCTTCAATCTGTTCCAAATCCAAGCGGGGCTCATCTCAGCCTCCATCCTCACCTCGGGTCTGTCTGCTCAGGGCAACTATACCTCTGCTGGCCAGCTTTCTACTCAGTAATTTAGCATCTTATTCCATAGCTGTCTAGACACAGGCTCCATAGGGGAGCTTGGGGGAGATGAAATGCAGATACGGCTGGAAGCACAAAGCCATGCTTGGGCCTTGACCTACAAATGGGAGACACCAGGTCCTGGCTTAATCCTGTGCTCTCCCCACAGGCCGTTTCCACGCCACCCACATCAAAGCCGTCTCAAGGCTCCTGGACATAGACGCTCTGTCTGAGTCTCTCTTAGAGGCAGCACCAGCCACAGGCCATCTTGGAGATGCCAGTCCCTCTCCTAGCAGCCACTTCCCACACCTCACCATCTGGTGGGAGCCTGGCAGCACGTCTATGAAGTAAAGGCACAGACATCCATCCTCCACCTGGCAGGTGGGAAGGGCAAGGGGGCGAGGAGGCAGAACCGGGCATGTGGTTCCTCGAGTTCAATTCACCAACCATTCGGGATGAACATGCAGGGCGGTGCGGGCACCAAAGCAGTAGCGAGGCTGAGAGCTCGTAGCACAGAAGCAGGGCTCTGAGGCTCCGAGTCGGAGAACCCACAGCACGCTCAGCCCAAGTCCTTCTGGGATCAAGGACATTGGAAGAAGGTGAGTCCAAGGCACTGCCAGTGCTCGAGTTCACTTTCGTGCTCACAGGAAGGAGGGAAGCCAGCAGAAAGGAGGAGAGGCGAAGTGGAAACGCACACCCGCCCACAGCCTGCAAGTGACTCACTCCCTAAGGCTAAATGAATGGCATCCTCACAACAGAGTCAATGAGGGCGACTCTAGGACGGGGTGAATCCCTCTAACCCCTGGGTTGTCAGCCCACTGCCACCCAAGGTGATGGGAAATAGCCTGGGTGAGGCTGTCAGAAGTCCTGGGTGTGCACTCCAGACTTACCATATCTGTGTTAAATGGTTAAATACCAGCTGCAGGCAGGACACTCATTGTGTGGTAGACATAACGCTAAAAGTTGGAAGAGGCTGGTAATGGCATGATTAAAGAAGGCGCTTACCATTCATTTAGATTATGACAAGCAAGTAACAACCAGCTGGCTGGGTAGCTCTGTTCCCAAGAAACACCGTGGACATGAAGAGAGAGCTGCTCAACCAGCAGTCGCTCAGCTGTGGGAATGCTGGTTCCCTGGTGAGTGGACAGTGCTCACCATCTAGAAAGGACCTCCTGCTCTCCAGGCACAGCGAACGAACGCAAAGATCAATGAAGTCCTCCTGTACCCTCCAGGCTTGCAGTCTGATAGGTGGAGAGTCACACAGCAGTAAAAGAGACAAAAACCCCAATCTCCATCACCGTGGGCAGCTTAGCCATTAGGGCTAAATAGAAATCAACACCAAAATGACTTGGGTGTATCAATTAGAGAGTTATTTTCTTCAAATAACAGAAAACCCAACTCAAAATGGAGTGAATATCCATCTGTTCAAAGGCAGGGTGGTGCGAGGGTTGATGACTTCAAAGGCTCCAGGGCATCGAGAGGCTCCTTCCTGTCTAGTTCCTTTAGCCTGATCTCACGATCACACAATGGCTACCACCAGTCCAGGCCCTTCAAGACAGGGTGATGCCCAGTGGGAGTAAAAGGGTTTTTTCTCCCCCGTGTGCCATCAGAAGAGCAAACCACCCAGAGGAGCCCAGCATCTCCCCCTCGCGGGTCATCAGCCAGCATCCAGGAACAAGGCCATCCTCAGCCACCCTCTGGTGGGGGGAACGTGGCCCCTGTGACCACCTTAGCCGCCTCAGGGTTTGCCTGAGTTAGGAATGGGGTGGGTCAAGGTGGACTGAAAACAATCCCAGGGCTCT